GGGGGGGGGGGGGGACTTCTTTTTTGTACGCCCTTATATTCTTTCATTTTTTAATGAAAGTTTGGTTTCTTACCCAAAAAAATAAAAAACAAAAAATAAAAATAAAAGAATCAACACAATTGACCTTGTCAAAGGTTTTCTTCTATACATTGTTGGGGCTCTAGTGGATTGGTTGAATCTAACCTACTCAATATGTGTTGGTTCATTCTTTTAATTAGGTTAGTTCATTTCTTTCACCCCATTTTTTCCCCCTTCTCCATGTAATGTTTCTTATATATTAAAAAGAACATCGTGGTTTTAAATTCATCAAGTTATGATATTATGTTAATACTGGAGGACAGAGATGATTGAGCATACAAAAAGATAGGTTCATCCCACTACACACATAAATGAAATTTAATAAGGTTCCATCAAAATATTATGGATAATTTTCTTATATAAGGATTTATTCTTAACTAGTATATCTCTAAAATCATATGGAATGCAGGCCCCAAGTAACGATAGCCACAGCTATAATATTCTGTCATCGATTCTTTCTTCGACAGTCCCATGCAAAGAATGACAGAAGGGTATGTTTCTTGTTTAGATTAAATATAGCAAAGTTATGCACTGATATATTCTTTTTAATGATGTGTCGGTCTAAGATTGTTTTAGTTCTTGCTTATATAGGGGCAACATATCCATTTAGGTCCTTTCTAGTCTAATAACAGATTGGTTATTGTCTTAGCTCATAGGACATTCAGATTTCCTAGCAGTGAAAAGAGTGTGATTGATATGGAGTCTTGAAATATAAACCATTCTGAAGATTTTTTTTGCCTTCGTTTAGGGGCATCCTTTGTTCAAAACTCTGCATCTATGTTTAGTAAAGTCTTTCCTGGTGGCTTCTGTTTTGGTCTTTTTCTGTTGGTTTGCTGTTTTGATTGTTATATGGAACTTCTTATTCACCCTGTGGGTGGTGGTTTCCTTGAACATTCTGCATCTTTTCATCGCAATGAAAAATTCTCTTATTAAAAAATGGTATCTGTGTGCAAATTGTGAGTAAGTCCATTTCTTTGGTTTTTTGTTTTTTGTTTTTGTGTGCTCTTGGTATAGTTCACGACCTCCACTTGGAATAGTTGACACAAATCTTATCTTTTGTAATTATTCAACTTTTATTATTTGTAAGGTGTTTTTGTAGCTTTCTTCTTTTTGGGAAGGGATGCCTTGTCCCTTTGCTAGTTAGACCCTTCTCTTCTTTTTGTTTTTGTTTGTTTGTTTTTTTTTTTTTTTTTTTTTTTT